AAAAAAAAAAAAGAAAAAAAAAGAAACTCTACACAGACCCAGTAAACAACTCGCCCATTCTCCTAGCAGCCACATTCTACTTTCTAGGAGTTTGACTACTCAAAATTCACTCATGTGCAGCACCTGTCAGGAATTCCTTCTTTTTAATGGCTGACTAATGTTCCACTGTAAGTATGTCACACATTTTCCTTTATCTTCTCATCCATTGGTGAACAGCTCAATTGCTTCCACCTCTTGGCCATTGTGAACATGCTGCAGTGAACACGGGTGTGCAGGTATCTCTTCAAGATTCTGTTTTTAAGTGTTTTAACTACATACGCAGAAGTAGGATTGCTGGATCATGTGATCATGGGTATGTAATGTCTTTTAAGAATCCCCATACTGTTTTCCATAGCAGGTACACCATTTTGCATTCCTACAGTATAAAAGCCTCCTGATTTCTTCATACACTTGCCAACACTTGTCATTTTTCTTGTTTCATAGTAACCATTCTCATGGGTATGATTTGATATCTGTAAATGACTGATGATGCCGAGTAGCTTTTTATGTAAAACCTTGTACTTTAACCTTTGTATTCTGCTGTCTCCTTTAAACCCATTCTTTTAAATAGTCATAGCAATTGAGGCCTACCTAACCTCTCAAGCCTATCGTGAGGATTGAAATGAATTAAACAATATAATGTATATAGAATATCCAATACAACACCATACCATGGTAGCTATTCTTAGTCACCTAAAAATACTTATGGGTAGGCACAGTGGTTCAGGCTTATAATCTCAATTACTCAGTGAGATTGTGGTTTGAAGCCAGCTAAGGCAAAAAGTTAGAGAGATCCCAGCTCAACACACAAGCAGGATATGATGGCACATGCCTATCATCCCAACTAGGCTAGTGCAGGAAAAGAGTGTTAGACCTAGTCTGAAAAAGCAAAAAAAGCTCAAGTAGTAGAGCACATGCCTAGGAAGCACAAGGTTCTGAGTTCAAACTCCAGAACCAATAAAATAGAATAATCCTTGTATAATTTTAATTGGCATTTTAACAGCGTTAGGTATAATTTACATATAGTAATACTTCCTCATTTAAGTGTGTATTTTTTGTAAATGAACAGTAGCATGTAACCATCACCATAATGTAATTTAGACTATTTTCATCACCTAAAAGAGCCCTTGTGCCAGTCATAGTTTTGTAGTCTATCCATTCTCACCCTAGCCCCCGACTCCCACTAATTGCTATTCTCTCTATGGATTGCCCATGCTGGACTTCTAGATAAATAAATACCATCTCAATTCAATACCACACAATCCTTTGTCTCTGTTACTTTCATTCCCGCTCCTGCTCCTTGTTATTTTGGTCATATAAAGTATATCTTTATTCATTATGAATCCACCAATTATTACTAGAACAGTTGCTTTTAAAATTTCATAGGAGGGAAATTAAAAGCAAGAGATACCCTATCTTATCTACTTATCTACAAGGTTACCTTTATCAATCCCCAATTTCTTCATCCAGATTTAAGTTACTATCAACTATCTATTCATTTCAGGCGAAGAGAGTTCATCTCACATTTCTTGTGAAATAAGATGCTAGCATTTTCTTTTTTATGTATCTGTGTGTGTGCATATGCATACGTCTACATGAGTGTGCACACACACCTATATAGGATAGATTATAGACACACATATATGCACATACATACACAAATGGAGTAGAATGTCTTATCTTTTTTGAGGTAGAAACTGGCTATACATCTCAGACTGGTCTCAAACTCACTGTGTAGCTCAGGCTGACCTTGGACTTAGGATTCTCTGGCCTCAATTTCCTGAGTGGTGAGCATTATATTATGTTCCACCATAGCATTTCTGAAGGACAATTTAGATACTTAATTCTTTGAAAGTATGTTTCTTTCAGTGTTTTAAATATGTCATCCAATACCTTGTAACAAATCAGCTGTTAGGAATATTGAAAAATAGTTGGGTATAATTAATAATTGCTTTCAAGATAACGTTTAGCATCTTCACTATGGTATGTAGATCTCTAGTCTTTATCCTAGAGTTTACTGAGATTTTAGAAAATATACATTAATGACTTTGATTACATGTAGGAAGTTTTCAGCAATTACATCACATATTTTCCTTCCCTTTCTCTCACCCCCTCTCTGTGTAACTGCTACATCTTTTGTTTTTTTGTTTGTTTTTGCCAGTCCTGGGCTTGAACTCAGGGCCTGGGCACTGTCGCTGAGCTTTTGCTCAAGGATAGCACTCTACCACTTGAGCCACAGCACCATTTCCAGCTTTTTCTGTTTATGTGGTACTGAGGAATCGAACCCAGGGCTTCATGCATGCTGGGCAAGCACTCTACCACTATGCCACATTCCCAGCCCTACATCTTTTGATGTAAGACACTTTCATGACCTTTCTGCCCATCCATGCGAAGCATTTTGGGGGCACTGCCAAGGTCCCAGCACTCAGAGAGACTTGAGAATGACAGGGAGTTATGTGGCAGTTTCCAAGCTTGCAGGATTGAGAAGACTAGGGCAATTAACTACAAAATGGGAGAGACTGTGCTAAAGTGTCATAAAGGTGGTACAAATAAGGCTGTGTGAGCATCAAACATTTCACACTCTGTATAATTTTCTCTATCACCTATGTATCATCTATCTATCTATCAACCTATCTTTCATCTACCTTCGTTTATCATCCATCCAATTGATCCCATCTATCATCTTTTTCTATCATTTAATCTATCATCTATCTACCTGTATGCACACAAGGGTAATTTTTATGTTAAAATTCTTAACATAAGGTAAAATGTCATGATAATTTGAAGTAATTAAAACACAGAACCCAAAGGTTCCTCAGAAACCATTTTTAATCCTCTGCCCTTACCTCAACAACCTGTACTCGCCCATGGTGCAGGCGGTCTGGCCGTGGCTCACTGGGCCCCTTATGGACAAGGGACATGAACCCGCTCTGTTTAAAGAAAGACACAGATATATTAGTACCTAGGTAGGAGTGCTTTGAGATTCAAAATTGATCTAGAAGCAAACATCTATGAAGCTACATTGTATGAAGTGCTTGACTCTACAATGTAATTCAGCACTGACTGGCTAGGGAAAGGATTCATGACAGAAACAGAGCAACAATAGCTAACACTATGTATTTTTACAGACAGGAAATCAAGAATAACATCTTGACAAACAGCAAGTGCTATTTCCTGAGTGCCTAGAGAACCAGATGGTGACTGGGAGAAGGTGGACTTTGGTGGAGGGGTTACCCAAGAGGGCAGAGGGTTCTGAAAGAGTCCAGTGAGAAGCTGGCATGGCTAGTGAACTGCAGAGCTGGCATGGGGAAGGAGGGGCAAGCTCTCAGCTTTCATCCTGCGCCCTGAGGAATCCAGTCTTGCTCCCTCTCAGCCTCCACCCCTCCTTGCTTGAAGGGCAGACTCAGATAGCCTATGCCCTCATCAGCAACCCTACCCCAGCACACACATGACAGCTCAGATTCTCTGTAGTAGCTCCAAACTCGGAGGTGTTCCATTCATGAGAAGGGAGGTTTCACAAAGCAGAGCGTTATCCACAATCACAAATCATTTAAAACCTTAATCTAAGAAACATGCCCCACAGGCTCTTAATTACAGCGCTTTAGAACAAAGCAGCAGAGTAAATGTTTCATGAGCCTAAATTACTTTCCATGTTTGATGGCAAAATTAAAGAGAATTCTCGGTTATTACCTCTCAGAGAATTTCAATAGTGTGTGTAATAAACTCCTCAGCAATTAAAAAAAATGAGTATGTCTATAGCCTGCAAAAATATGAAATTGAAATAAATACCATGATGGTCTTTTTGTTGTGTTTTCCTTAGGGCTATAACTCTAAAATCTTTCTGCTTTCTTTTCAACATGCTCTGCCAAAGTGCCTTTAAAGCAATAGATGTGCATGCCAGTATGAACAAAACAGTGCCTGAACACAAACATCTATCAAGTGGTGGGTGTGGGTGGAGGCATGAGGAGGAGAGACCAGCTGGGCCCTTGTCTTCAGAGAATGGCATAGCAATCATCTCAGGAAGATGGAACTACATTCCATTCATCCCAGCAAACAGACTAGAAATGGAATCCTTGCCGAGTAAGGGACCCCAACCTGTGTGTCCTACATTGTACGGGATTCAAAGAAGGATATGACATGGCATCATCCATCTCAGGGAATTGTCACAGCTGCCCCTCTGGAGGGGTAGGCAGGCACGCAATGTGTGGATATTACTTCTCAAGACACAAACCTTCTATCAAGTGAGATTCTGAGCAGAGCTCTAAGCACCCTTCTCCCGACCCTTCTGGGCTTGTTCTTACTGATTCAATGTTCCAGTCTGGGTGGTCAGCTTCCTACCCTGCTCCTGCCCCAGTGCCTAGCTTGTCCTTACTTCCTGCCACTGAGGGGCAGGAACTTTGGTTTCTTTGGTGACCATTCTCCTGGAGTCTCCTGGAGGGCCTCTTCCCAACTCAGCCCTACTCCAGTGCAGCTCTGAAGCCAAATGCCTGTTTCCCCAATCTCCCCCATACACATATTTTTAGCGGGGCAGGGGGGATTGAACTCAGATCCTTGCACTTGCTTGGCAAGTATACTTGAGCCATTCCTCAATCTGCCACCCCCTTTTAAAGATTATATTAATTATGCAAGGGAGGTTGATTGTTGATTGTTACATCTCCACACATTCTTACACTGTTTTCTAATCCATCTCACCCCTTCTATTACACTCCTAGCCCCCTCCCCCAAAATTCTGTCTCATTCCATTTCCATAGCTACAAATAATCTATTTGGAGAGTATTTGACTTCTTCCATCCTCTCCCCAACAGGACAATCCCCTCCCCCTTAGTCCCCACTCATGGACCTTCTATGTCTCTTTCCTCACCTCCCACCCCCTACAGACCAGCATCTTGCACTGAATTTCTCTATTTAATACCTTTTGCTCTTGCAAGGTATTAAAAAATTTGTGACCCATTTTCCTTTTTCCCTTCTCCCTCTCCTCCTCCTGAGTAGCTCCTCAGTTTGATTCATGTTCTATGTTTGACCATATTAATAATAATTTTAGATATATATGCACATGAACATGTCCATGAACACGTATGCCCTTTAGGTCTAGATTCCACATATGAATGAAACATAGGATACTTTTTCTGTGGACTTTGCTGGTCTTGCTCAACATGATGGTGACCTCTAATTGTATCCATTTCCTTGCAAATTACATTTAATTTTTCTTTATGGCTGTTATATACATATTATACATATATGTATAATATATATTTTTTCTTTATCCACTTATCTGCTGTTGGTCACCATGGCTGATCCCATTGTTTATGCTTCCAGCTTTTTCTTGCTTTTAGTTTTGTTTTTCAGATAAGGCCTCAGGCTTTTTATTCAAGCTAGACCATTATCCTCCTACCTCTACTACCTGAGTAGCTGGGATTAGAGGCACCACATCCAGTCCCAATCCCCCCACTTTCTGCTTTTGGAGGACAAGGGTCATCTGTCATTACAAAGCTCAGCAGTGGTCTTCTGCATGGAAAGACAGGATCCATTTGGTCAGAGATGCAAGATCCTGAGCAGAAATTCTAAACTAGAATGGAAGATTCTAGTGTCTTCAAGAGCCTGGAAACAACTTCATCTAAATGTTTTGTAGGCCACCTGTTAAGATATGCTCAATTTTAATTCAGCACCACCTGAAACTGCTGCTTCTTGTCACTAGGGTCCAGTTGTGATAACTTACAGTGAGCCGCACATCTGGCTGCTGTCCCAGAAGAACCATGTCAGCTGGTAAGCCAAAGGACTTGACTTGGTAGGTGAGGTAACCACCATAGGAGGAAACCTGGAATTGAATAAAGAGTATCATTAGGACCAGGATTAACAGAGTCTGGGCCAACGTTCCATGGCTCCTGCCTGTAATCCTATCTACTCAAGAAGCTGAGAGCAAGATTGAGCTTTGAAGCCAGCCCAGGCAGAAACATTCAAGAGACTCTCTTTCAAAAATAACTAGCAAAAAACAACAAACAAACAAATAGAGCTAGAGATGGGCTACAAGTGGTAGAGCACTGTCATAACAAGTGAGAGTTTCTGAGTTCAAATCCTAGTATAGCCCAAGGGACAGAGAAAGAAAGAGGGAGGCAGACACACAGATAGAAACATGCAGACAAGGATATTTCTAGACAGTAGGTTTACAGATGATATTTTAACCTTCTGCCTTATATCATTTCATATTAGTTACAATGTTTGGCATGAACATGATTGAGACTTACAGGCAGAACTTATTTGCAATATCCAGTATATGTCTGAGTCAAGCAGAAAAGGTCAGATAAGGTGATGTTAGGGAAATGAACCCTAAGGTATGCATTCAAATGTTTTTTTTTCTTTTCATGCGATTGTTTCTAATGCACTTATAAGATAATTTCTTTGTTGTTGTATGTCCCTCCCCCACAGTATAACCCCTGCTTTCACTGTATTTGATGTCGGTATAATTTGTGGAGGGGAAGGGGAAAAACAAGTCGTTTAAATAGGAATACAGGTGGACCCATTGCAACAATGAGAAGTACACTTCTTTATGTTGAAAATGAACTTTACAACTTTGGTGGGGGGGGTGGGGAGAATTGGGTGGGGGGACGAGGGGAGGATGGGAAGGGATGGGAAGGGGAAACAAAGGAGGAGGCTACAATGCTTGATAAGAAATGTACTCATTATCTTGCCCATGTAATTGTA